TTCATTAACAAATTTTTGGTCATACATTATTAACCAATGATACCTTTTTTCCTTCACCGGTTTTACGATTTTTTATAAATTATTTTTAAACATATATTGAAGAAAACTAGTGAACATCATCACTGTTGACAAAATATATTTTTTTTTTTGCTCTCCTATAAAACGTTATAAAATCGGTTACACTTTTGGTTCTTATCCCTTCATATGTCTGTTTACTTTGCACGTGTAAACCAATTTAATATTACAATTAGGTTCGATTATACGTGCCCGGATATGTTCAACAAAGCGGACTTCGTCGTGTCTGTTCTCAACTCGAACGAAAAATCAATCAAGAGCAACGTCGACGAAATGTGCAGAATATCTTCCACCGAATATCAAATAGATTCAAACTACGATTCGTACAACTGCACCGTATGTGTAACATTATAGTCAGTGGTGTATTTAAAAAAAATAGGATAGTTGTTCCAAAATGTTAAGTATTCGTGAAATAACGAAAAACCAATTCTATAAAATAACTACTTGCATTTGGTATGATACACACTGCATGCGTGTGCCTATATTAAAATTCTGGCCTAACCTACATCTTGGTTCTAATAGCGCCCGATCTCTCTTACTGTAACTTTGACAAATTACATTTTTATTTTCCATAATATTCTGTAGTACATTTTGGACAAAACTTTTCGTAATTTGTTCAGTTTTTATGCTGTTGTCATTTTTTACATAACATTATAAATGGTATATCTATCTAATTAAATTTACATGTATTTAGTGATCGAACTCGTTTTTATCAAAAACTGACGTTTGCTCTTTTAGACCCGAGGTACATGTTTAATACATATGTTATAAACTAATAATTCGATTATTATTTTTTAAAACTGTTTTTTCTAGATGCAATTGGAGTATCAACAACTTTTGCACCCGTAAGTAAAATTAAAAATGTAAACCATTGGATCAATTATAAATTAACCTACAATTCTTCTATAGAAGTATTCTACACAGTTAGCACCACTAACTATATTTATTGGGATGTTTTATGCATTATAACCTTAACGATCCCACCTTTCTCAAAGTTAACGATACAACTATTATTAAATAAAAACGTCTAAAGTATAATATTCGTTTTATGTATCACAAATAAATACGATATAAATTTTGTTCCATTCGTTCTTATATTTAACATTTGTACATACAAATTTAATTTTTTGCTCACACTGAACACTCGATGTATAACCTTAATAAGTGACATTAATTATCCTAATATTATTATAACACGTAGAGAAAAACAACAATGGATTACACAGCTAAATTTAATCTTGGGCAGATCAGTGAAATGTTTTTTAAGAAGCTACAAGGCCAAGATTCTGGAACTAATAACGTTATTGGTAAAACCGCAATATTGGCCAAAGAATGTATGTAAGTTAGTCATTCTTTACAAATATATTTTTTCTCACAGTTTTTGGGACTCTTTGCATCCACGCCGTACGCTAATTTGAAGTTTGACACAAAAGCCGTGCAAAACTGGCAAGGGTTCTGGTTCAGTTTTACTATAAACTCCATGTTCCAATATTGCTACTCTTCTATCATCACTTACCAACTGGAATTCCCTATCGTCCATCGAGAAGTCAGTAACAGCATTTATTCCTTAAGCGCTTTCTACGTTTCCGAGATTGTCATGACGGTTAGTACAGTCTATTGTCAACAGCCCGCTGTTATTAAAATATATATATATTTATAAAAGTTTAAAAGTTAGGATGATAGTGTTATACATTATTCTCAATTTAAAAAGTTAATGAAATGTATGCGTTACCATTTAAATTTTAGAAGTTGCTATTAAAAACTAAGTTAAGAGGGGTAAAAAACAAAATGTAAAAATTGAGATCACATTGTATAAAAACATTATTAAAAATAAAAAATAAATAAATATATATATATATAATATTAATATATTAGGGTGGTCGTTAAATTTGACGTGGCGTTATTTTTGTTCCTTGTATTAGGATATTTTTTAAACTCACCCCTTGTACTCACTTCTGTTTTTTTTTTTTTTTAGCTGGTCTGGACCATCGTCGAAGTATTAATGTACACTTATCTGGTGTTTTGGATAGTCGGCATCGGTTATAATTATATGCAAGTGATGACGTTCTTGATCATCATGTTGGCGGCCCGATCTTACGGTGAAGTTTTTTTTTTATTATAATTATTCGCGTCGGTGCATTATCGTTGGGATAATAAGCGAATATTATTTTTGACATATTTTTTCAGGGAGCGTTCTATCTGCTTATTTCGAAAGACTCGAAAGCGTAGTCATGTTCTCGTTAGTATACGACTACTTGGCCGTATCCCTCAGCGGCGCATACATCTCATTCAGGTGCGAGCTATTAAAAAAAAAAAAAAAATACCTACTAACTCAACTTACATAAGAAATCGATTTATTAATATTGTTTTTGTTTCAGTTCCATACCGCCATTGCTGTACTACCTAAAATATTTTTCATTATTTTTTCTCGCTTGTGAATCGTTGTCTATTCTACAATGGCGTGATAGCTCTTTTATACGTAAGTTTTCTATACTTATGTCATACAGTCTTTTTTCATTCTTTGTATTATTATATTTTGTTGCTTGTGTCACAAAATTACTGTGCAGTGTTGTGTAAGCAGATTATTAGCAATTCAAAAAAGATCAGTTATCATAGATTTTAGTCAAGCCTCCGGGTAAAATTCCTGAAAAATGTACACTCAAACTATATAAAATTAAAAAGTTATCCAGAATTTGACCAAATTTGTTTTAAACATTTTTTTTTAATTCACCTAAAATGATTGCTCGATTTTGAAAAACATTAAAACAAGTAGTATCTATTGCTATTTTTTAATTGGGAAAGTCACACCTCTGGAGTACTTCTAGATCACTTTGTACGGTCGAACAATAAAAATACAAAACGCGGGTACTTTGTACGGTCCGATTTTATTGAAAGTTTTTTACTGATATCAATATTGAAACTTAAATTATAGACTAAAAAAATGTATAAATACTGACTGATCACAGCATTACAATGTAACAAATAAAATTAAAAAATTCACAATAAGTTAATTTTTTTCATGCCTGGTTACATAGATTAGATTTTTTTTTTCTATAGTTTTGTTCTTAGATTTTTGTCTAATCATCTAGTTTTACTGCCCGAAAAACCATCCAGAAACTGGGATTTATCGTCCCAACTAAATTATCGAAGGAGCTATTCCACCCTCTACTAAAATTGTTTGTTAAATGCGATTTTAACATTGTTTGGTCTCTCACATTCCAAATAGAAGAACCGTGGATTGTTATTACTACCACTAACATAAGTTCTGTAAAAGTATAAAATGAGAGGAAGTAACTCTTGAGAAAATGTTTTATACATATGACTAATTTCAATTAAAATGTCGTTAATAGGTAAAAATGCTAACGATAAGCAATCGTTTTACCCTTTTTGGAATTTACTTTCGTTATAATACTATTGTGTAGTCGACGATAAGATCCACACGGCAACGTTGCACGAGAGATAACAGTTGTAAACGGTCGCAATTCTGTATCGCCCATATTACGTATTATATAATCAATATTCGGACCATACAAGTGACCGTTAACCTAGCAGTTGGAATTTGTGGTTGCAAAAGATCACACACATACTTCATCGTGGTTATCAAATTGGCACACCCCTTAATGTAATTTATTACAGAGCACTTGTGCCATTCTCCTTGCGTTCTTCTCCCTTGACGGCACTGCTAATACTGTTATCCTACTGTCGTTGTTGGCCATACAAATCGTATTTTATTTTATTTCCATATTTTGTTGATAGCATGCCTGAATCTCAACAACTGCCTACACAACGGCAAAGAAGTGTTGCTGAGCTACGGATACGACATCGACCGGCTCTACGTGGACTTGATCTCGCTATTTGTTTTCTACATAATTGCCTACGTACTCGGCTACTACGGCATACTTAGGAGGACCAAAAAACAGCCCGCTTATTAAACAACAGTGTTTGTTTGGTTAAGCGACAAAAATTTGATATTTATTCCAATTCTTAATTTTGCTTTTATACCAGCATCCTAATTGTTTATTTATAAAATCGCTTGTAAATGTGTGCTAAAACATTTTTATCCACAACTTTTATTTTTAAAGCATTGTACATTTGTATTCTACATAAACTATGTCTTTATATTATTGTTAAAGCCGGTTTATTTTTAATTATTCGTGTTGACATCGTTCGTTAAGTGTGTTATTAGTTATACAATAGTTAATACTGTTGTACATTTATTAATTTTATAAATACAAATTACGATAAAGCTCAATTTGTTATGTAAATCCATTTTTATATGTACCTATATAATATTATCATGTCTTATGAGAGACCATTAACGATGGTGACATAATATTATAATCTATTGCTTTGTCCGTCGAGATTTTTAACAACCTTTTACTGAATTTAATATAATTCATACATTAGAAATAACAGTAATGATCGAACGCTTATTTTTATCTGGTATTTACTCGCGATGTTGATGAGTCAGAATGTTAATTTTAATTAAATATTTCTTAAAAATAATACATCTCGATTGTGGAATTATGCAATTTAATTTGTCTTATTATAATATTTTCTACGTCGTTAATTTGTTTAACGGACTATCTAATCTTACGTTTATAAATACGACTCGAAGAGTACCAGCTCGATTACACTTGCAGTTACAGACATAAAGAAAAAATTAATTATTCATTATAACGAGACATAGGTCAACGATTAAAACGACACGTTTAAACGATAATATAAAACGTTATGAAACCTTGAATACATTGATCCGATCGACCAACAAACAGATTATTTACACGACTCGGTCGTTTTTTTTTTTTGGTCGTTATTTTTATGATAATCTAAAAATGTATTTTGAACATAATATACACTTTCAAATATAGCCACTTATTGATAAACAGCATCGATGAAAATCCTTACAAAGTGTTCACAAAACATTTATCGTTTATGATTTTTATTTATTTCGTTCGAAACCAAAATCAAGGTCGTAATAATTAACACAATGAATAAATAAATACTTATTCAAAACAAGTTTTAATTCATTCCAGCTATTCGCTACACGCTATGGAAACTAAAAGGATTAACATTTAGTAGGGTACGTTTGAATAGTGCGGCCTTGACTGAGGACGACCATTTCGGCAATCTACAGTAAAAAAATACAAAACATTCATCACACACATAATATTAATACTGAGAAAAAAGCGACGTGCGTCTTAATTAACGAATAGGTTGTGGTCGAGTAAGTGCGCTCAGATGGCCGTAAAATGATGTAAATGCAAGTGGCGATATACAAATTTAAAAATATATACATAATATTAAGTATTACCAATATGTTTGGTCCCGTTGACATGACAAAGATTATCATGTCAGCCATTTCTTCGGCGCTTAGTATTTCTGAAGATTTCATTTTAGAGTGCGAAATGTTGGCCGCGTCAAAAATTTCCGTGTCCACAAAACCGGGGCTGATGCTCTGAATGATAATCATAAGGTTTTAGTTTTTTATTAACTTTGATTAAGAATTATTGCAATACAGGTTAGTTTAGGTTAATAACCGGTCAATTAAGTAGTGAATCGTTCACATCGTTTCGTGGGCCTAAAAACAGATGTCTATACTCAAAATATTGAGCGGTGATGAATACAGCCTAACGTCGATCAGATAAGTAACGAAAGTATCTCACTATATCGTGAGATAGCCAAGCATCTCCTAATTGTTGGTATCCTGCTCTCTCTCTTTTCTAAGTATTATCCAAGTATAATTTTCTTTTTAACGAATGTTGCAAAGGCTACGTCTAGCGCTAAAATTCTAACTTCTTGCATCTCAAAACGCCTCAGATGACCTACCTGGTGACTTTTAGTACAACCGAATCTGAGATGTTTAAATCTCCTGCCGTTATATTATTTTGACGATCTCTCGATAATGAGTTAGGACTTATGTCGGTGTTATTTGGAATTTTAGATCGGTTAAGTCAATTCATAAAACAGCCAACAAAGCAGACGTAAATAGCACCGTTTTTATCATTTATTATACTACATTCAATAAGCATCCCCTACAGTTTTCAATCTCGTAAGGTTCAATACGAGGGTGGTAGTCAATTTTTGTAACTACAGTGGTTCAGCACCTCTTAAAAAAATTATACATTTCCGCCACCAGCAAATGGCAATAGGCCACAAACATTGAAAATGTGCACCAATAAAATACGGAAAACACCTGACCCTGCAGCATTCCGGTTTAAGTATGCTTTTATGTCAGCTGATTTTCGAGGAAAGACGTGTTCCCTTTGGCGCTTTATCATTATGACTAATTAAAATTCGAAACAACTTACGGTTGCTTTAATGTGACGGTCGCCAGCTACCGATAATTCATGTCGCAGGCCTTCGGTTAATACTCGAAGGGCTTGTTTGGACGCGTTGTAAACCTTATTACCCGGATTAACTGAATACGAATGGCCCGTAATGCTAAAATAACAAAAAGCCAGTAGGTACAGCGAGGCCGGAAATAGGAGGACGGGGAGGTACAAATGAACGCTTCGATGTGAATCTGTTGATGGCAAAAACGCAAATTCGATAAAAGTATTGTAAAAACCGTAATGTGCTTAAAATTATATTTCGAGTGTTAGGGGGCAGGATATTATTATTAGGGTTCATCGTCTGTTAATAATAATTTTTTGCCATTATTACTCATACTTAATAATATAATGAAAATACGTATTTGCTACCTATTCACTGTTTATTCACTCACCCTAAAAATTTACTACTATAAAAGTATAATTTTATTTTTTTTTCCTTTATAAAAAAAGAAGTTCTACTACAGATTTTGAAGAAAATTGTTTATTATGTTATAGCCCCACCCTAGATATATCTTCAGTTTAATATTCAGACATTCAGTCCTAAAGCTTGACTGATTTTTAAAAAGTTATAAAGCGCCTGTAATTTTACGTTAAAAAAAAATTGTTTGCAATTTTTTGGGAATTTTTCTCGATTTTGAACGATAAGAGATGAATTTGTTAAATGTTTGTCCCAGTAAAGTACCTTTCAGGTACGATTTCTGCTTTAGAGAATTGCTATTTGCTACATGAAGATATGGGTTTAGCGTTTTACTAAAGTGAAATAGTAAAATAAGTTGGAGGGATCGCAGTAGAGCGATTTAGATTTTAGAGGCAGATCTAGAACGAGGAAGAAATGGGAGGACGTGATAAATAAGACACTGATATAAATGTTTGAAGTGGATAAAGAAATGACGATGAATAGCGAAATTTGTGTGGATAGCAAATTTGGCTGGACATTTGTGTGGGCTATAAGCCTGCTAAGGCAAAAAATAAGAAGAGTTTTATTACTACACATAAAAAACAATTAGGTACCTGCCTGTCTACCTGTTAATTTGTATTATGTGTCCGTTGGGTACTTTGTGCTTTTTCATAGATTTGTATGCTTCCCGAGTGCAAAGCGTGGTCGCTATTACGTTGCAGTCAATTATTTCTTTCCAATTTTCCGTCGACCCATCTGTTAAAATATAATTCACAGTTTTCAAGTTCACTTATTCACAGTTACGTTTTACATTTTACCACAGACTACTATAATTATATCGCAAGAAAAATAATAATTTACCTAGCTTTAAATCAATAATTAAATAATGCTTTATGTATATTTGTTAATTCAATTAATTCCATTACCTAGTATACTCGATATTCTAATGATTCCAGCATTGTTGATCATAAAATGAATACCGCCAATATTTTCGTCTATCCATCTGAAAGCTTTTAACACATCATCCATGTCGGTTAAATCACATGCTACCGAATGAAATTCACCAGGATAGTCGTTGTTCACAGTAAATGTTTTCAGCTCCTAAAATACAATATAGGTACCGTGGTATTGCTTAATATCAGGCGAGAATACCTGACAGGTAGGTAGGAAGTTTTATTAACGTACATGCCTCCGGTAGAACAGTTATTACTCATCAGAGTTAGTTTTTTTGTAATTGTTCACTACATGTATTGTTAGGGTTAGAATTTTATCACGATAGTCTTTGTATAGATTATACATACTAGTACATCAGCGGAAATCATTCGGCATCTGTACCTGTATCCTTGGGAAGTCTATTTTCCCAATCAAATCTCCTGATATATGTAGTGTTCTCTTAGAGTCTAAGTTTACTCTCAGATTATTTTTGCTAAACACTGATTTTATTACACCTAACCCGCCCCTGATGATTGGCCCACTATAAATTCATTCGTTGTGCAATCCGGACGTACACGTTTTTTTAGAGAGAATTACTTACAACTATTATTATAAACATTACCTACGGTTAAAAATTGTACGGACTTACTTCAAGTCTGGCGTATCTCCTGGCAAGCCCGACGACCACCATTCCCATTTTGACTAGTTTAATAGCAGTGGCAGCTCCGATACCAGCACTCGCCCCTGTCACCACGGCCACGCGTCCTTTAAGATTATCCATTTGGTATAAGTATAATTGTAATTGTATTTGCAAAAACAATGTTATGTTTCTAGCCGCACGTCAAATTAATAATTGTACCAACACCTTACATTACATGCCATTTATATAATTCGAAATGGCATCATTATGTAAACGTTTAGGAGGTAACCTAGTATTAATATAGATGCTCTCTACTCATCCGATTGTTTTTGTTATATAACATTTTAATACGTCTAAATTCTAAAAAAAAAACGGATAGCTAGACATTTTTTTTTTTTTTGACAATCAATAAATATAACTTTTTTTTGTTATGATATTAATATTCATAGGTTATACAGAATGATCAAATTAACGTAAGATACTCATTTTCTCGGAAAGTAATAAATAACAATCGTATAGTTTTTTTATTTGAAAACATTTTTATTTACGTTATTTTACAGTATTATAAAATAACTAAATATTTACCTTTTTTTTTTTTGTATTTTCCAGAGCTCTATCAACTTTTGAAACTGAAATGGTAACGAACATATTTAAGGGGACTGCATGTGGTTGGTTTTTAAGGAGTTTTGTATAGGCAATATTTAAGAAAAAAGTGGTTTTAATAAATTTCGATCATGTCAATTAATTTACCGGTTAATTTGTATAAGCTTCATGGTATTATTTTTAATTTAAATTATTTTGTCTATGAGTAAAAACCATTTTAGCTAATATAACATACATTTTTTGTTCCATCACACAGGCTGAACCAGTAATCTGATAAGTAATCTGAAAACAGATTTGAATTCGTCATGAAGTTTACTTATGATCGGTCAGGGTACTTTTTTGATATCTTATTCCTACTATGTATAAAACACGTTTGAATACTATATAAAATTTTAAATTTTAAAATCAAATTTGGAAAGGGTTAATTAAAAAAAATTGAAAAAAGTACCCCAAACGATCATAAGTAAACTTCATGGCGAATTCAAATCTGTTTTTAGATTGCTTATCGGATCACTGGTTCGGTCTGTGCAATAGAATAAAAATGACGCGTTTTGACTGAAAAAACTGACCGCATGCAATCGCCTTAACTAACTTTTTAAATTGAGAATAATTTACTGAACATTTTGACTGGTCGACCTAGTTTTTGATAATTACTTTTAAAGTTATTAAAAGTTAGGACTCCCGTCGTACCGACGGCTGAGTGCAGTTGAGTAATGTCCATAGATAAAAATAATACTCGACTCCACCATTCCTCCCGTCCTAAACTTTAAACTATAATAACTTAAATTATCCAAAAACTGGTTTTCGACCCGGCAAAGTGTTCAGCAAGTTATTCATAATTTTAAAACATAATTAAATATATAAGTTCTCATTTAAGTTACAAGATTATTTATATATTAATGTAATCATTTTTTTTAAATTTAATATAAAAATACAAAGAAGTATGCACAATAATATTAAGAGAAATACTCTCATTATTAGGAAATGTTGGAATTTTGAAATAACATAACTCGTTTAAATTAGAATTTAGATGTATGGGTTTTATTATTTTGTACTACAAACATTTCAAGTTTTTCTTGCGTTCATGAATCAATATGTGTGTATGCATATGTCCAGATGTACGGAAGGTATCACCACACATTGGACACTTAAATGGTTTTTCACCTGTAAATAATAAAACTACATATAATTTCAGTTAAACACTTAGAAAAAAGATGTACATAAAAATTGTTTTATTTATAAATAAATTTAATAATTTTTTTTTTGGCAAAAAAAAGATTTTGAAATTATTGAAGATTTTATTTTTTTGACTTGTATTTTTCTTAAATTCTTAATTATATTAACAAAAGAATTCTGAAACACAATTTTTGAATATATATAATATACAAACCAGTGTGCTGTCTCATATGAACTTTTAAAGATGACGTAGTAGCAAATAAACCATTACATTTAGAACAAACAGCTCGTTTCATTTTGCCTATATGAGTAAAAATATGATATTCAAGAGAACTTTTGGTGGCAAAAGCTTTGTCACAATTTTCGTTATTACATTTGAATGGCTTACAACCAGTATGTATTCTTTCGTGTCTTTCCAAATCGGCATTCTTTTTAAAGACTTTACTACAAAACTGGCATTTTTTTAATTTTAAATATTTTTCCTAATAAAAAAAAACAAGTTATGAAACACATTTAAATAAAAAAATCTCATTTTCTACTTAAGAAAACTACAATATTTGGTCTAAAAGGTACCTACTTAACATTTTATTCTACATAATGTCATTTAAAAGATAATCATACTTAACCAGCGATTCTCTAAAATGAAACTTACCATTTTTTTTTCTTTCTCCAAACTAATTGTTATATTTGGCATATATAACATCATAGGTTCAGCATTGTTACATGCCTCTGTTAATCCATTGGTGTTTTTATTTTGCAATTTTGAAGAAGGGTTTGTGTTATCACTAAAAATATTTAAATTTGTTAAAATTCAATAAAACATAACTCCAATTTAAGAAAAATCATATGCAAAATTGTTTTTTTTTTAAATAATAAATAATTATTTAAAATACATTTTTATGTAATGTTTCAAATCTGCAGTCCCGGAAAATTACTAGATAAGTCTATTTCTGTGAAATTGAGATAAGTCTCTTGCCTTACCTGCATTCAAACACTACCCAGTTTAACAAGAAGACCCGTGCAAGAGACTTATCTCAATATATTGTTATATATATATTTGTCTTAGATGATTTGATTTAAAATTAATTAATTGAGAGAACACCAAACATTAGTTTCAGTTGTTTATTTGTTATTAAATGTATACTGATTAATAATTCATTTAAAATTATTGTATTATTAATTACAATGATCTTTAATACAATTTAAATAAACCTGAGATAACATACCACATGTTTTATACTTTTAAATTGTATGTTAAGCTTCTTAATGAATTTTTGCATTTTGTTATGTAGGGTAGTGGAAAAACCTTATTAAATACTTAACTCTTGTTCATATGATTCATACTATAGTATATAATATACAGTGTACTATATACTATGATATATATTTTAAAATAGTACTATACAACTATTGTCATAAAAAACTTACAGACTGATATCAGCTTCATATTTGCAATCATTGCCAACATCTTGTTTCTTTATTTCATAGACAAACAAAAACAAAATAAAAATTAGTAAACAAAGTTAATAAAACAATTTGATACTTACTTTTTCATTGAACATCTTTTTAAGTTCTGGTTGAAATCGTTGATTAGTTGCTGTACAAGTAATTTCTGAACCTAAAATGACAAATTTGATAAAATATAATTATTAATTATTAGTTAAATTTTTAAATATTGTAAATAATAAAAACAACAAAGTATTTTTTCATAGTGTGTATGGTAGGTTTATTTAAAACCACATGCTAAGAGTATTATCAATATTAATAATAATTATAGTTTCTCCTAAATACAATATTTAATAAAAATGGAATAAACATTAAAATAACAATTTTTGATTTTTATTTTAATCAATATTGAAAATGTATTTGTAAGTTATGAAAATTACCATTTAAAAAAGAAAACGGAGAATTTTCAATTTGTAAGTCTTCATATATAATTTCATCGGATTCCGCATTTTTTTCTCTAATTATAGATTTAAATTCATTTTTAAACTCATTTCCATTAGCATTTAAACTGTCTTCAAGTTGGCCTAATTTTGTTCTGCTATTAACTCTGGTTAAAAAAAATACATTTATTATAATATATTAGGTATAACTAAACAGTTATTATATTTCTTTTACATAAGACTTTTGTTATCACTGTTTTGCAAATCCTCACAAAAAGTGTTGAGCCATTTTTCAACTTCTGAAGGATCTAAAACAAATTTTAATTGATTAATATAATATGTAAATGTAAGCACTACAACTGCTAGGAAAAAGATGCATAAGTAACATTGATTGAGAAATAACAATTTCTAACAAACCAAACAACAAGATTCAGTTATTTTAACCTTATTATAACTCAAGTATAATACCATATTCCGAATTAAATGAGTACATAACAAAAAATAAATCTATTTGTTTTTTAAAAGAGAAATTTTAACATTTATACTAGAGCACTAATAACTAATTCCAATAAAAGTGTACAAACAAGTAACATAAATTTACTTTTGTTATTTACCAACAATTTGTTGCACCTTATTGTAATGATATTATAAAAAATACAAATTTAATTACATCTAACCTTTAATTATACTATTAGTCATATCGCTTTGATCACTTTTCAATAATGATTTCTTTTTGCATTCCTTTAATCTTCTGTTTTTCACGTTATGATGCATATTAAAATGTTTTGTAAGAGCATTTACACTATTATAAACACATGAACACTTGTTACATTTATGAATTCGTGTAGGCTCTTTTATAACGGCATGACATCTTCTAACATGATTTAGCAAATGTACTATATAACAAAAAAATGCAGTAACACTATATTATAAAAATATTTTGAACAATAATACAATTTAAATACTTAACAATTCATAACGAAATTAATGTTGTTCTTATATTTACCTTTTTGTGAGAATTTTAAACTGCAATAGTCACATTTGAAAGGCAACAGTCCCTCGTGTCTAAGTTGATGACGACTAAGTGAATTTTTTTGGGTGAAGTATTTCGAACAAAGATTACACTGACAATAATGAAAATATAACAAAATTAAACAAATATAGTACACATTTCATGTAAAACAACATCCATATTAAATAAATTATTTTGTATTAGTCATTAAAAAAAACCATTTTTATGTTAGTAATTATGATTCTATGAAAAAAATTTGTTCTAACCTTAAACGGTTTTTCTCCGGTGTGGGTCCTTAAATGTCGTTTTAGCAAACTCAATTTGTGAAATGACCATTCACAACTATTACATTTGAATTTCTTGACAGCTGTTACCAATAGTTTAGTGGGAGTTTTAACAGCTATATTTATCGTTTTATGTTTTTTTACACTGGAGATAGACTAAAAATTACAACAATTAGTAATCACAGTTTTTAGTTTTAAGTGTAGACAAAAATTACGTACCTTTAAATTATGTTCTTTTTTATGCATCTTATGGCCAGAAGAATTAGTAAGTGTCTTTCTATATACTTTTTGGCTTCTAAAGTGTATTTCTTCATTTTGACAACCATTTACTGTTTCATCATCTCGGATGCTGCTATGCTTCTTAGGCGAACTGGGTTCACGCTAGACACAAACAATTTGTAAAACATGCAATTAAATATCGACGTTCAACAATTTGAAAGTTTTGACACGATTTTCAATACCCATAAAACCAGAAAACATATCTTGGTTTAAAGTCTTGCACATCAGATAGAGATGCCAATCAAAGTTTATAAGCTAGCAATGAATTATCATAGTTATATTATCAAGTACATATAGCACTAAATTGCTTACATTATTATTACAGAGGGTTTTATAACCTTTTAATGGTTCATCACTAAAATGTTCTAGTCTGTGTTGTTTGTATTGTAGCCATTTGTCAAACTCTTGTAAACATAAGTCACAAATGAAATGATCCTAAAAAACAAAGTTAAGTTACAAACAATTGATATTTGTCCACATTCAAGAAAATTTGTAGCGCAAAAAACTTAACAAATAAGATTAGGTAAAGATCTCACTTTAAACTAACTAAATTATGAGTTTTTAAGAGTCTAGATAAAATTGTCCAAAGAAAAATGAACCCAGGATAAAATTGTTCATACAAAAAAGTACAAACTTAATTTTTTTTAATATTAAATGAAAGGTAAACAATTCATCTAAAATGTTCTAAAACCATCACATTCTGAGTGAAGCATAATCTGCATAGCAATTTGGTTTTGGTTATGAAAAAAAAGTAAAACTGTGTGTTAACAAAAAATGAACCACCGTTGACTAATAAAATATTATAGACAATGGTTTTAGATTTAACTTATAGTTTTGTGAAAAATTACCTATACTAATCTTTTAATAAATAAGTAGTGTAACATACGTCTTATTATGTCATGTTAATTTTAATATTTGCAACCACAGCAATTTAACTGGACAGCACAATAGGCTAAATAAAACGTTTTATGTGCTGATAAATAATTTACCTTTGTCTTAAAGGAATTCATTACAATAGTATTCATTAATTTTATAACTCCTGAACTACAGTCATTTGTCTTTTCAGCAATACTACTACAAAGAGGAACATTTATTTTATACAACAGTTCTTCTTCTAACCGAGTTTTCTTTTTACTTAATAATATACATTGTCTATTTGAATGGTCTGTTAATATTTCATTACTCTTAGATAATGTCATATCAGTAATTACTTCTATTGCTAAAAAAAAAAAAAATAGTTTTAAAGAATGTTTTTTTATTTAGAAACAACCACAGGGTTGTATTATTTAATAAAGGCTTACAAGTATCTTGAGGAAATTTTATAATATTTTCAGAAGTAGGCGTATTTTGATTTTCGGGTATTATGGAAATAAACAAAGTTTGATTACAATTTGTGGGTTTATTTACATCTTGGTTTTGTGAAGTAATAAACTGCATTGACTGAAAAAACTGCAAAAAAAAAAAAACTAAATTAAATTACTTAATACATTAAAATCTTCTTACTAACCTCTGGCATAGTAGTTACGAATGACTGATTATTATTTTTAATAATAAAATCTTTTGCTGGTAATAAATCACCCAATGAAATAATATTATCATCATAACTTTGCTCATTTTTTGAAATTACACCTATAAAAAATAATAATAATATGAGTCAATAAGCGTTCCGTTTACTGGGCGAGCAATCGTCCGGTGATAAGGAGCCGCCATCCCCCACTACGGCAACAGACTGACGACCCGTTCCAGGGAGCAAATTCGATAAGAAACCATCATCTCATGATGGCAGCGTTGGGCCTTAAAGGCCTGTTAAACTACATGATGATGATGATGAGTCAATTCAAATAAACAAACAATATTATTCAGGATGGCCTAAATAATTTGTACCTGAATATGTCATTTTATGATAAAATTAATTTACAATAATTGATATTTAAAACAACAGAGTGCAATTAAAATTCTATGGTGTTTGAGTTATACCTAATAAAAACAATATTACAACTCAGATTTTTTCCATAATTTGTATTTCGCTTAAGCGTTTATTTAAAAATTAAAATAAGTATTACAAACTTAATGTTTTACTTTAATGTGTTAAACACAAATATAATTCCATTAAATAAAAAAGTTGAAATCAAGACATCATAAAATGCATCAAACAAAACCCAGGTTTAGATTGTATTTAATAGATTATATTCTTACTCTTGTTAATATAAGTTTTTGATACTGGTTCAGCATAAGTAATTGATAATAATGGTTCATCAATAAATGACAAATTAATATGTTCTAAACTACTATTGATAAGTTCTGAATTAATAAATCCTTCCATATTACTTCGATAACTGTAAAATATAGACAATAATAAAATTAAAGAAAAAAAGGTTTTCTTTTGAAATTATATTTTAATATTGTAATAGGTATGTTAGTTGATACTCACTATTTCTTTGTGCAAAATACATCAAATAATTTAATTTGGTGATTCGAAGTAGTTATAATTATATAATTAAAACTAATGTTTTGTTATTGATTATTATAATTTAACAATAGAAAATATATATTAGGAAATTATTAGGCTTTTTGAATTTAAAATCAACCTATGGTTTACTACAGAGAATAGTCTGGAAAATATTGCGAGTTGCGACGATATAGCTCAGGTAATTTCTTATGAATATTAACCATTGTTTACTAATTTGTTGTGTAAAATAATCTATGTAAATACTAAGTACGTAATTGTTCTTGTTATTATGTCGGCGTCCGGTGATAACAAAAGCGTTATCAATGATTTGAGCCGAACTGTTGTTTTCAACTTCAAACAAAGTTGCAGTGTGGCCATTTTTTCATTTTTAAACGGCAAAAATGTCGTTAAAGGCATAATAAATTTATTAATCACAATCTTGAAATTCGAAATTATGGTAAAATAGAATATTTGAGTTTCAAATTAAACTTACTAAATAGTTGTATAATAAATAAATTAAGTACGATTTTAATAATAGGAAATTAAAATTTAATAATACTGGGGTATTATTATTATTATTATTAACAGTCGCATAATCTTAATTTAAAATAAAAAAACGAAAATATTCTTAATCGGTACTCTGAAGTTAATTTGTTCTATTAAATTGTGTGATTTCTAAAATCCGTATAATTTAATTTATACAAAGAGAGAGATAACAAAGTGAAGTGTAACTCCAGTCTCCGTGTACGCTTCAAAAGTAGCTTTGCTCGATGGTTTTTTTTAATTTTTAATACTATGGATTATTTGTTATTTGTTATTATTATTTATCAAAAGGCACTAATATGTTATACTTAATTTGTGTGAGTTATTCGGATTGTGCTTAGTTGTTTTAAAGTGATTTTATCATCCAGCCTTTTTTGTTGTGATTAGTTTGCACTGATTTTTGTTTTAGGTTTGTGAATGAGTTCGGTCAACGCTTCAGTAACTGTAAAAATGCTAAATTCTTAACTTCTTCCGTTTTTCTTTCCTCTAATCCTAACTATTTTGATTGCAATTATTGGTATTTAAACACTATCGACATTTTAAATTTAATAGTATTTGGTTCGTTTGATTTTCAATCCGCAAAAGCTTCATAAACAAATCTTGATTTAAGTTAGTTAACGCGACCGTAATAATGTTTCCATTGTATTATTCTCTTCAATACAAAACCCGCTATCTAAAATGAGTAAATAAATCTGTGGTGTTCAGTCATTAATAGGTGTAATTAACGAAAAACATGGCATTTAAAAATTAACCAAATAGTGAAAATTTATTGTGATTTAGTGAAATATATAATTTTGTTTTTGAAAAATTATATACACAATTTTATAATTGATTATATTGGATTTGAAAGAAACTGGATATTCTTGTGACACCTTTGGATCCTTATTTATTTTGTTAATTTTATTCATAGGTCAAACATAATTTATTTTCATGTCACTATTGTAAACTGTTAAAGTGTGTTACAGTAATTATACTTTTTTAAAAATACCTTTCCTTTGAAAAAATATTATTCACTAGAAAGATGTAAGCTATTTTGGAAACTTTAGTATAATAAAGATATTTTGTGTTAAACTCTTTTAGCTAAATTATATATTCAACAGAAATATACACTAGACTGTTAATTTCTGTAGACGTGGTGTGATTTGTGTTTACAACCATATGTACGTTCTCAAATTGCTTAGATTTCTTTAATAAAAAAATGTTAATTACATTTTTTACAAAAATAACTATGTATTGAACGGTTGGGTTACCTTACCCCATCATTAACAACGATGATGAATGATGTGAAACTGAAATTTGATTTTTTTGCTGAATAACAATTTCAGTGTACCTACATCGGGTGCCCTACAACCTTTTTCCCGTTTTTTTTTTATTATTGCATATTGTTCTACATCTTATGGTACATTATTTCTTCTATTTTTTTCAATTAATTGTTTATTAATAACTATTTTGTTTGCATATTTTAATTTGCATTTGAGTTTTTCTTTAGTTGACAATCTGAATACAATTATCTTGGTCGTTGTCTAGGTACCCTCGATTAACATATGTATTTCGTATTTGCCGTTTTGAATTAGTGCTACTCGGATATCACTGCATAACTTTTTACGAATTTCGCAGTGTCAATGTGTTTAATTGTAATTTACTTGCTACCATTGTCACTCTACACAACTGTCCTGACAAACTTTGCTAAAAAAAAAATTCAAGATTCCCGAAAAGTTGTCGATTGTCGTTTCTTCTGGCCTTTTCCCCCTTTGGATGTACCGAGGATAGATAAGGAAATGGTCAGGAAATTATTCTTCGATAAACCATATTTTGTTGTATTATATTTTGTTCACTACGTAATTTTTTGTTCAATTCTTTATTTACGAATAACATTATTGTTTGCGTATTTGGGGATGGGGATGTTTAGCTCTGGCACATAACCGAAAAAAGTGTTACCAAAAAAGCGTTACGGTGTTATTTTAAATTATGTGTTGTATTCACAGAGATCAAATTATAACTGAAAAATAAATTCAACAATTAAACAAGTCATATTCCCTATGAATTGTTTTAGGCCGGATATTATGAAAACACTAAAGTATTAGCCAGAAACTTGATATGTTTACTAGCCACCTTAGATACTAGCTTGTTACTGCTTGTTAATATATTATTTCAGTATCTATAATTCCACCACTTCTCTAAATGTATTCGGTACTTGAACGAGACATGAAAATGCTCTTTCGTAGTTGCACACTCGACTGAAAAATGTTTTTTTCGTTTACTTTTAATTGTTTACTTAATTTGAAATTTTAGTCATTTTTATATACTTATTTATTTATAAATAAGTACTTTTATATTTTATTTCGTTCTATATATCTTATTGTGATTTGTGTATAGTGTATACCTATGTCGTATTTTTTTATTTATGACTTATGAGTGTATATTATTTTGTTTGTACATTTTGTTAAAAATAAATTGATAAAATTGAAATTTTTTAACTTATGTAACATGTTTGTAGGTATATGCCATTTATTTTACGGCAATTTTCGAGAAAAAAAAATTAATTTTACTTGATATTATGCTTGTGGGTGTAAGCCATTTACTTCAAATAAATTTGGACCATACGAATTTGGAACTAATTCGACTATTTTTAAAAAAGTTAAGGAGTGTTGTAATTTTGAGTTGGTTAATATGTACATGTTTTGGTCTTTTTTTTAATTTTTGATGGGAGAGGGGTGATTTTTTTGATTTTTTGGACCATTAAACTACTTATTAAGTACGATTTCTGATCTAAAGAGTTGCTACGTGAATAAATGGGTACAGCGGGTCAAAAGATACTTGGGTCCAGACTAAAAAAAAATCAGCTCCCCGTCGAAGCTATTATATAAGTAATATCTATGCAAATTTTAATAGTATAAGTACAACAACACAGTATTATAATAAACAAGACCTCGATTGCCACAAGATATACTCTCATCGGATGAGGTTAAACTCTTCAAATGAAGACGAATAACAAATAATAACTCAAAATAAATTAAAATTTAATAATAATAAAAAAATGACGCATGTGGCTAATGGCCAACAAAAAAATGATTTAAGATAAAAATAAATGATTAAAACAATATTGAGTAAAGCGAATAATTTTATAGTTTCCGCCCATTTAGAAAAATGTATGACGCCGTCACTGTGTAAATAGCCTATTGTGTATTGTTATAACTATTTAGATTACCATGTTTAATAGTGATTTCATAACATTTCGTTTTTCATGAAAAATATTCCATTATATAACAATAATAATTATTAACATATTTTATTATCGTTTTGACCGACAGCGGTTTGTCTTCGACGAGAGGTAAGGTTAGGTGTTGTCCAAGAGATTTATTGTTTGGATGTCTAAGTGTACCATTTTAGTCCATACTAGAAACACTAAACACGTTGTTGATACAATCGCCACGAGCCATATTACACCTATCTGGGCGCCTCTGTGAGTTCTTTGCCATGCGGCGCCTATTCGCCTTTGCCCCCTCCGTTCGAAATCGCATTATTGTTTTTAACTCCACCAAGGCGCTATATTTTATTTATTATACGTACCTACCGAAGAGAAAAACCGGACTCGCGAACAATGATATGTATATACATATATGAATATATTTTTTGTGGCAATAAAATTGCATAAAACACATACATAATGGTCGTGTCTATATGATATACTGTTAAGGACGCATGAGATCGTACATGTGCGAGTGGTTTCGCTGGTGCGCGTACAATCACCCTAAACGTAATGTAATCCACAGCCGACACTCGCGCACCTACCTATATGTATAAGTTATAGTGAAGGTTACTGGAAAATGGATCCGAGAACGCGTACACGTGGATAATAATAATAATAATAATAATATTCCGGGCGGTATTCAAACACTTGTTTACACACAGGACACCCGCCGACGTGTGTATAATACATGCGTTTAGCCGGCGTATTATAATAAAAATAAATATGATACATTTGAAATACTTGTTTAATTATTATTTTGTCCCAACCCCTCCCCCGAAAAAAAAAAATAAATAAATAAAACACGAGCGGCCAATTTACCGACCCGGCATTCCGCGTTACGACCGTGCGTGTAATAGAAGAATAAGACGTATCTACCACCTAATATGCTTACGGGTGTACACCTATCCGTAAAAACGTTATTATATGTAATATATGTATAATAATACCTTTACAAATGTTTATCACGAGTGAATAGTGATACCCGACCGGTCATGTGAGTTTGTGAGCGCGCGCGTTGGGTTCCTTGACCCAGCGGCGGAGGTAGCCGGGTCGGTCGTTAGGAGACGACTCCGCGTCGACGACGCTGGTTTGTGGTGCGTGTCTGGCCAGTTCAACGTCCGGAAACAGTGAAAGTGGTCCAGTTTGACCACGCTACTAGGTGTTCCGGGGGTCGTTGAACCGCCGTCACTCGCCATGGGCATATGGGTGGCACACGTATTTTAGTGCACTAGGACACGGCACACGCATACGGTGTTACACTAATCAATCCCCCCCCCTCTCCCACCCCCGGCACTGCACCTGCCACTCCGCACCGGCCGATCCAAACAGATATGATTAGTGCCGCCTCATTGTGTCCACGGCGCGCACCTATAATAATAATAATAATAATAATAATAATAATAATAGTGTATGCTCTACATTCGGTACGCAAGCGTTTCCACGATAGGCAATGCATCTCGGACTGCGCCCCGTCCCCCTCCCCCTCTCCTCACACTAGTTCCCCTCAATTCGGATGACGTTG